CTAGCCCAGAACCCCCACGACATGGCAGTCAGGTCTGGTTACCTTTCCCATGGCCTTTGGAGAAGGGAGATCTAGGTGGAGTGGGGAGGTGGGGCCCCAGACTATTCCAGTAGAAGGGCCTTCTGTAGCTAAAGAAAGGCCAGTGACTCCTCCAAACTCCCCAACCAGCAGTTACCCTGGATACAGCAATTTAATTATCTCCATTCATCCTGCTGGTCCCATCTCCTCTATGGACTCAATTCTATCAATTTTGACCAACTTCAACAATGGTGCTCCATTGGGCTCTGGCTATTGATGCGTCCTTCCTCCAGCCTGGTCTCTCCCAGCTTATTTTTCTATTTACCTCTGGCCCAGTGGGCTCCCAGTTCTGCCTTAACCTCTAAACCTCCAATTTGGGTAAACAGAACCAAGGTTAAAGTAAGCCTTTGAGACCATAAAATTTTATTGCCTCTCCCCTCCTGGGACTTCAGCATAAGGCCCCATGCTAGTCTCCTAATGATTAACCTTGTGGAAAGACTGCTGGAAAATTTCTTCCAGTCCCACAGGGCTTGTCATTGAAACCAAAGCAGGAGTTTTGAGGGCTGGGTCAAGTGGAGAGAGAGTTGATGGGAAGGACACTGCATTTCTACTCCACCCTTGCCTCCTATGCCTTAATTCTTTTGGTGTCTAAGATTAGTAGTGTGGGCAAAGAATCCTAGAATGGGAGAGTAGGAAGCGAGATAATGTAGTTTAGCCCATTTATTTTATACATGAGGAAACTGAGGCCCAGAGAGGGGAAGGGGCACAGTCAGTGATTTTAGATCCATATGGAACTCAAAGAATTTCCTGGTCGGCAGAAACTAGAGACCAGCTACAACTCTGTGGCAGTCACCTATTCCTTCTCCTATATACTTAGAGGAGATAAGGTTGGGATCATGCATATCTATTGATGGGAAAAACAATCTTAGTAGGAGACAAGATTCCCCTCTCCACCCCCAAACTCAAAGTCCTTTGAAGTCTAGGTGGGGCAACAGAATATTCCCCTCTCCTCCTCCAACCTGAAAGGGAAGGAGGGGAGAAGGGATACATGGGTCAGAGTGGGGGAGTAGTGCAGTCCTCAGGGTAGGCCCTGACTGAGACAGGGCCAGCTCAGATCTCCTCTCTTCCTGTCTTCAAGACAGCCCTTGGGTTGCTGCTTGATCAGAGCAGATGAGAAAAGATCTCCTTATGTCTGGTGAGACTCAGTGGCCCTGAGCAAGTAGCTGTCAGGGGAATGACACTAGAGTGGGAAGGCTGGCCCTTGTACTGGATCTCTTGGAAGGGCTGAAGATGCCCTACCATGGATGGTCTGGATGATTCTCACACCTATGCCACCGAGAGCATAGGATGTTAGACCTAAATCTGTTAGATCTGTGGCTAGATCAGGAATTTGAGGGCTTGGGTTTGGGATACTTTTTCCTAAAAAAGGGCTATATTGTCCCCACTGAAATCAGTGGGATGATGAGAGAAGACCATGACATTACCTTTAATTAGGAAGCTCAGAACATATTATATAGGCTTCTGATTTGTTTACACATCTCCCCTTCCTATCATCACCATTTTGTCTTCCAAGATCCTCACAGGGGAGGAAGGCATAACAGCAATCCCATTTTACAGATTGCAAAGAGGTTAAGTGATTAAACTAGATTCACCCAGCACAATCAATGTTGGATTCAGGACCAGTACCTAATTCTTTACCTACCTGTGTATTGGACTCAAATTATTTTTAAAAGTGAAAAAAAAAATTCAGAAAACCTGCCATCTCATTTCCATACTGCTACTAATAAAAGTCGCAGCATTTGAGCAGCTCTCTAGGGCTTGAGGTTGTCCTTTGTAGCATGACGGGGTTAGGCTAGGTGACTGAGGTACTTCTAGCTCTGACAGCCTATGACTGGCACTTAGACTTACTAGGGCAGTTAGCAATCGAAACCCCCACAAGCAAAGGGGACGTGGGTAGCTCTAGGGGCAGGACAGAAGGTTTAAGGAGCAAGGGCTGAAATGGAAGAAAGACTGTTTGATGAGGCCCACTGGAGAGAAGAAGGGCCTGGGACATCAGCCATCAACAATCATCTAGGGTCCAAGGAAACAGGAAGTCTTGCGGACAGTGAAAGATTCCAGGGGTAGGGGGTGGGCAGAGGTGGAAAATGAAGGCCAATTTGTCCTCTGGCGCTGCAGCTTCCCAGAGTGACGACGTCTGTCTTCAGGACCTTTGGCCTGCAAGGGAAAATATGCCACAAAGACGCAAAACTTTCCATGACCCACTGACAAAAATATGAGACTGACTGCCCCGGCAGCTGAAGAAGCATTCTCTGCAGACTGACACAGCTCTGAGTCCGGTGGGACGAAAGGTCACCTGCAAACCCCAAGAGTCCGAGTCTGCTTTTTAACCCTTTCTCTGGCTGTCGCCTTTCCCACAGAGTCACCGGCTTGAAATAGCACACGATCTGGAGGAAAGCTGGAGGCAGGATCCTCACTCATGGGCGCTATCGAAAGAAGTGAAGCCAGCAAGAAGGGAATGGGAGTGTTTGGACCTTTGAGCAGGAAGAGGGATTTAGACATCACGGTTCCCTTTCCCCTTCCCCTTAATAAAAACTGGCTAATCTGATTTAACTGGACTCAGACTGACTTCAGACATGCCATGCCCCAGCCCAGTCAGGGACGATGTTGAGTTGTTCAGTTGTTTTTCAGTCATGACTGTCTATTTGTGACCCCATTTGGGGTTTTCTTGGCAAAGATTCTGGAGTGGTTTGCCATTTCCTTCTCCAGCTCATTTTACAGATGGGGAAACTGAGGCAAGCATTATTAGATGGCATGCCCAGGGTCATACATCTAGTGAGTGTCTGAGGCCAGATTTGAACTCAGGGAGATGAGTCTTCCTGACCCCAGGCCTGGTGTTCTATCCATTGAGTCACCTACCTGCCCCTTGGGATATTAGGGACACCAGAAGCCCTCTGAAGTGGAATTCTGTCTATCTGAGAAGGTATCTTTATTGACCTATGCCCATGACATTGGCCAAGGGCATCAGATGAGATTTCTGTTTATCACTATAATGGAAATAGCTCTTCTTGTAGCATAAGAGAAAGAGAACTGGCTTTAAAGGAAAGATACCTGATTTCTGGTCCCAGATCTACCACTAACTTGCTGTGCATCTTTGAGCAATTCACTTGCATTTTCTGAGCTTTCATTTCCTCATTTGTCAAATGAGTAGAATAGACCAGATGGTCTCTAAGATGTCTTAGGCTAGCTCTGACATTCTCTCTTCTGAAGCCTCTTCCATTTCTCACCTCTATGGTCCTATGTCCTTACTACCCTCTCTGGCCTCTCCTGAGAGCCACGTTAGAAAAGGGTTAGGAAAGGTTATCCTAGAAATCAGGCACACAAGGGAAAGATGTCTGGAAGGTTACTCACTGAGTGTTTATTAACACTGAAGTAACAGAACACTGACAGTCAAGAGAACAGAACACATCAGGAGAAGGGATATGATTCACAGAAGACCATTGCACTGTTCAACTACACCTTAAGAGAGAGTGCCCTGCACCCCTTATATAATACTATTTGCAGAAGACAAGCTGCCTCACAGATATGTGCATCCTCCTACCAGGTCCCAACAGTTCAAGGGGCACAGATACCACCTGGATAGATCCCCCTCCCTAGATAGAATGAGAAATGCCCAAGGTACTGGGATAAGAACACTGGGTTCTGCATTCCTTCTCTCTGCTTATTTCTCAATATTTCTACCTCAAGGAGATTGGTTCCCTGCCCACTAGGGTGGGCAGAGGCCCTGAGCCAGGCAAAGTCTCTGCTAGGATGCCCTTTGGTAGGCAGGGGAGCATCTCCCATGGGTGCCCTGGGTGGGACTTGTAGTTCTTCCTTTAAGGTTATTCTCATCCATGTTGCTGACTTGGGCAACCACCCTCCCCCCACCAAGCAGGGACAACTTTCTGGTCAGGGAGTTCCTATCTGGTTTCTGGGCCTTTTTGGCCACAGAGATGAGGAAGGAGGGGCAGACCCTTAGCATCATTGACTGCATGGTTGCTTGGGGCCTGGGGCAGGGTAAGTAGTATATAGAAGAGAGGCCCAGGATTGAACTGCTGTTGTGGGGAACTGGATGTCATCTGAGCTGGCCCAACTCTGGAAACATTTATTAAGTACCAACTATGTACAGTGTTCTGTACTAGGTGCTGAGTGGGATACAAGAAAACATGGCCCCCATCCTTGTAGAACTTACAGTCCAGCAGAAGGATATAAGTCATGCTCAAAGAACTATACTGTTACTCCAAAATGCTGAGATTTCCTTAATATTGGTCCTCTATACATCAACACATCACAGACCCTCTATGCCTTGTCAGGCAAGCGATGAGCCTTTAATAGTTAGCTGGGCTGGTCCTCAGATGAGAGACACAAGTCTGGCATGGGGCCAGACAAATAGTTATGTAAAGTACTACCGAAGTGCACCAGAAAAATACACAGTGCTATGTGAGGGGCCAGGAAGAGAAATGAGGGCATTAGAGAAGACTTCTTGGAGGAGGAGACTTTATGAGTGATTAGAAATTCAACAGACGGGTCTTCTACACCCAGCTTTCAGGCCTCTGGACAGTGTTTTTAGACCCACAGCTTCATCCTGCTCCAGGGAAAAGGCCCATTTGCCATCTGTGAGGAAAGGCGTGGGGACAGGAAAGTACAGGGTGTTTGGAGAATGGTGAACAGCCCAATATGAGAAGGCTGGAAAGGCGCAGTAAGTATGGTGCATCAGGCTCTGGGTGAGGGAAGTTGTCTAGAAGGTCAGGCAAAGGAGTTGGAATTCCATGCTGCTGTTGAGTCATTTCAGTCATATTTGATTCTTCAGGACCCCATTTGGGATTTTCTTGGCATCGCTACCAGCGTGGTTTGCCATTTCCTTCTCCAGCTCATTTTACAGATGAGAAAACTGAGGTAATCAGAGTTAAGTGACTCGCCCAGGGTCACACAGCTAGTAAGTGTCTGAGGCCAGATTTGAACTCAGGTCATCCTGACTCCAGGCCCAGTGCCCTGTCCACTGTACCACCTAACTGTCCCCAGTTAGAATTCTACTGAGTAGAACTTTTGAGCAGAGAGGTGACATAACTTGTAAAGATGCCCAAAACATCTGGCAGGGGTGTGAAGGAGGGGCTGGGAGGACACAGTGGAAGTGAGAAGAAGCTATTGCAGCAGTCCAGTGGGTGGAAAAGAGGGCCTGTATCATGATGGTGGGAGTGGAAGAGGAAAGAGGGGACTGAGGCAAAAGATACTGCAGAGGTAGAATTGAAAAGGACTTTGTAAAACTTTGGGGAATGCGGTGGGAGAAGGAAGAGGGAAAAATAACCCTGAGGTTAAGGGACATGGGAGAAAAGGACTCAACCAAGGCAAGGCAAACTCCTATCTCTTCTTCCCCCATCTCCACAGTGACTCATGGATAGCTGCCTGCTCAAAGCAGAAGAGGACGATTCTTCTCGTGTCCAGTGAACTTAGTGACCGAAATAATGAAGTAGGAGGAAAAGAAGTCTGGTTGGGGTGTAGGTGTGGGGAGGGTAAGGACGTAGAAGTCCAAGTTTGTCCAAGTTGAATCTGAAGTGCCGCTGGGACATGGAGATAGATTCTACGAATCTAGATAGAAGAGGTGGGTCTGAAGCACAGAGTGGGAGGCAGGGCAGGGGATGTAGACTCTCAGGTCCTAGGTGTAGAGGTGACCACTGAAGCCACAGGAGGGATGAGATCAGCAAAGGAGAAGCATATGGAGAGAAGAGAAGAGAGGGCTAAGGAGAGAACCTTGTGGACCACCCATCTTTAGGACCTTAGGAAGAGGGCAGTACTCCATAGAGACAAAAGCGGGAGAGAGAGGTAGCAGAGCCAGGATAATACAGTGTCCTGGGAAGTAAAAGAGGAGGGATCATCTAGGTGGGAGAGAGGAGTTAAGTGCCACACCCTTTTGGGAGGTCATAGACAAGGAGGAATGAAAAAGGCCATTTGATTCAGCGACAGGGGGTCACTGACACAAGCCAGATTGCAGAGGGTAGAGAAAAGAGTGGGTGGTTAGGAATGGGAGCCATGCATGTGGCTTCAATAAATTTGGCAGGGAAGGGAAGGGGAGAGAAGGAACCATAGTCAGAAGGGGTGGAAGGGTTATGAGACTCTGAGTTTTGGGGAGCTTGGAGAATGTTTGTAGGGTCTTGGAAAGAGGCCAATGAAAGATTGAAGATGCCTGAAGAACAATGGGTGATTGCTAAGGAGGGGCCTGGAAGAAGCAGGAGGAGAAGGCCATAGGATTAGCATCCCTAGGAAATAAGGGATACTTCTTTCTTTGTGGTGAGAAGGGAGGACAGGGAACTCAGAAGGAGAGCTCCTGTCAGATGGCCTCAATCTTCTCAGGGAAGTAGGAGCCTAAATCATCTGCTCTAAGTGTGGGAGGGGGAAGGGGAGTTGGAAGAGAAGAGAAGGTCTGCAACTGTTGCTGTGCGGATCAATAATGAGCCCCCTGTTGTCTCCTTGACAACTTAGGTGTGAAGCCACCTATGGGCCTTTCACATCAGACTCCTCTGGTCTGGATCCCGGGCAGTATCACTGCTGGGGACCCCTCCTGCCATAGTGTCTTCTCTGATTCTGTTTGTCCTTTCCCTTCTTCTCTCTGCTGGCATTTGGCTTCCTCCATCCAATTCAGCTTATACATGGGGACTTTCAACTTCCCAAACCCTGCTCCCCACAACACCTTCAATGGCTCCCTACTGCCTGCTCTTAGCATTTCAGGTTCTTTCCCATTTGCTCACACCCCTCTGTCCTCCATTTCAGTTCATCTCCCCCTTCTCTGTTCTAGCCAGGTCAATTTCATCCCTATCCTAAACTTCAGCTCAGGCTGTTTCTTCTTCTAGCAGATGCTGCCAGTCCTGATTCGAATCCCACTTATCCTTCTGGGTCTATCTCAATCCCTGCATCCTCCAGGAAGTTCCCCTAAACCCTTCAGATTCATCGCCATCTCTCCTACCTCTGAATTCCTATTGCACTGACTATAGAAATCTGGCATATGTTTGCGTCTGCTTGCCGCCTTATTTCTGCAGTTTTACTGTAAGCTCTTGGGGACAGGGACCAGGTCTTGTACTCTCCTTTGTTCCTCACAGTCTAGCACAAGGCTGGGCCTACAGGAAATGTTCAGTGAATGGAACAGCTGGGGCCCAGTCCACTGGGAAACAAACAAGATCCCCTTAGATCCTTTAGTCTCAGGCCCTGAAAAGATCTAGGCGGATGACCCAAGTTGCCAGCAGGTCAGTGGCTGTGCTAAACCCCTGCTCCAAACATCTTCGTGGACTCCCCTGCCCTGCCCCCCAGGTCACAATGGAGAGATTCCCCACTGTGGCATGAGTTTGGTGCAGTTTTCTGGGCCACAGGATAGGTATGCAAGGAGAGTCCAGGTGAGGAAATGGGAGGAGTCAGGAATGATTGTTTTGATGGTGACCCGGCCCTAAAGGAGATGGGTGAACAGTGAGGACGGAAAATAATTCCAGCAGGACAGGGCCTGATTTCTGACTGCACCTGACAGAAAAGATCACCTCATCCTGCCCCATTAACTCCCAGGGACCTATAGGAACACACCCTCAAACAGCCTCTAGGCCCTGGGAGAGAAGTTTCAGACTCACAGTATTACCCTGCTCAAGGGGGAGGGCCCGTGGGGCCCATAGTACTGCCTTCAACAATCCTCTGTCCCAGGGGCCCTGCTCCCCATCCTCACATCATGGACTCCTCTTCTTCAATCTCCCGGTCCACCTCAATGGCTGTGTTCTCGAAGCTGGTGATGCCACCATATTTCCTCATGTGGACCATCAGAGGTTTGGGGGACTGGCTACCCGCCAGGGTAGCCACATACATGCCTGTCCTGTTCTCCTCCAGAGAAGGACCCCAGTCCATGGCTGGACGGCTGGCTTGCTGGATCCTCTGGGAATAGAGGAAGAAGAAGAGGGGTCATTTGATTTCTTCCTCAACTATCCAGAGATGGAGGGAGGGGAGATACCTTCTCTCTCCTGAGCCATCCGGGTTCTACCCCAAGATAATAATCCCTAGGATGGAATCCAGGGGCTCAGGCATCTCTTCCTTTGGCCCCTGCTTGGGAAACTGATGTAAATATGGGTCCCACCTCCAACCAAGGCAGCCTTTGACAATGACTGACAACCCTTCACTCACATCCCTCCTCCCACAAGCCAAGGCTGAGAACCTTTCCTACCCTCATAGGCTTTTCCTTCTTAAGAGATCTAGGGGTGCCTAACGGGACTCAGTCCGGGCCTCACTCTCCTTTCTAGTCTCCATTTACATCCTCCTTGCCAAGGACTGCTATATGTGATTCATGAGCCAAGCAGGAGGAATCCCTCATGGTGCTCACTCCTTTGAAGAACCCTGACCATGAAGAATGAGACAGATTGTTTTGAACATGGTCCATGTGAGAATTTGTTTTGCTTGAGTAAGCATGTTTATTACAAGGGTTTAATTTTTTTCTTTTCTTTTTTTTTCCCAATGGGGGATAGATGGGAGGGAGAGAAAATGAATTTTTGTTCATCGAAAACAATAAAATTAAATTTAAAAAAGTACCCTCACCCTCAGAGTCAAAGAATAATAATAGCTAGCATTTATATGCCACTTTAAAGTTTGCAAAGCACCTTACAAATGTTCAAAGCACAACAACTCTGTGAGGTAGGTGCTATTATTAGCCCCATTTTACAGATGAGGAAACTGAGGCTGACTGAGGTTAAATGACTTTCCTGGGTCACACAGCTTGAGGCAGGATTTGAACTCTGGTCTTCTGGCTTCAGGCCCAGCATTTCAATCATATTGTGCCACCTAGCTGCCTTACTGGAGATCAAAGGGCCCTTAGATCATTTAGTTTCAAACCTTTATTTTGTAGATGATGCAGACCTAGGGAAGGGTGCCTTTCCTGTTTGACTTGGCCAAAGCAATGCAGCTAATGCCAGAGACACACTTTGAACCCAGGTCTCTTGAACCAAACCTTGGACTAAGGTAGCTGTTGACCTGAAAGCTTAGTCATTTGCTGACCCCACAACTTTTAGTGGACGGGGTTGGGCCGTTTGGATAGATTCCAGACAATGGACTAACTTACGAGCCTGGAAGACAATGTATTACAGTGGAGAGAATGCTGAATTTGGAGTCAGAGGACTTGGGTTCAAATTAAGGTACAGCTGTGACATAAGTGACTTTGACTAAGTCATTTTATTTCTCCAGGGCTCAGCTTCCTCAACTGTAAGATTGAGGATTGAATTAGGCGATCTTGAAGGTCCCTTCCATTTCTTTCTTTTTTTTTTTTTTTGGTGAGGCAATTGGGGTTAAGTGACTTGCCCAAGGTCACGGAGCTAGTTAGTGTCAAGTGTCTGAGGCTGGATTTGAACTCAGGTCCTCCTGACTCCAAGGCCAGAGCTTTATCCACTGCACCACCTAGCTGCCCCTAGTCCCTTCCATTTCTAAATCTATAATCGTATGACTAGCATGGCCCAGACACTAGAGAGTCGGGCTTCTTCACATAAGGTTCCTTCCCTTGGTCTAATCATCATCCTGTCCCTACTAAGACAAACTGGGCACCAGAACGCCTCGGGGGCTTTTGGCCAGCAAAGCCACCCTCATAGCTCAAGAAAGTATGGGCTAGCCTAGAAGCCTTACCCCAAGACTCCCTAACCCTGTTCTTTGAATGTAGTGAGTAGACACCATCTGGCAAGCAGATCAACCATGCCACTAGCTATATGACCTTAAACAAGTCATTTGAAGGGCAGCTAGGTGGCACAGTGGATAGAGCACAGGCCCTGAAGTCAGGAGGACCTGAGTTCAAATCTGGCCTTGGACCAACCACCTGACACTTACTAGCTGTGTGACCCTGGGCAAGTCACTTAACCCCAATTGCCTAAAAATAAATTTTAAAAAATTAAAAAAAACAAGTAATTTGATTCTTTAGGCCTTGTTCATCTGTAACTTGAAGGAGTCAGAGCAAAGTTCCTTTCATTTCCAAAGTTCTGGGATTCCAAAACTTGGCTGGGAAAGTGAATGGGTCTTGGCTAGAGCTCTCACCAGTAATGCTGGCAGAATCAGCATGTACCCACCAGAGGGCACCCTGAACACACAAAGCTCACCCCTAGGAGAGGTCGTGGAAGCAGGGAGCAGAAAAGAACTTTGGTATTTTTTCTTTTTAACAGATTTTACAGATTACTCATTTTACAGATGAGGAAACTGAGGTGTAGAGCAGACAAAAAAGCAAGATCACAAAGTGAATTATTAGCAGAGCCTGCACTTCGGACTCCTAGATCAAGGAGGCTAGCACCCTTTCTTGATATGCAATGGTCTTATTACAGGCTAGTGAGGAGAAGGGTAAAAGTTGAAGAAGTGGAAAGAGCAATGGAAGTCCAGTATTTCACAAATCCAAGAACAGACCCCACTGGGGGAAGGACTCCCTCTTCAACAAAAGCGATGAGAAAACTAGAAAGAAGTTTGACAGAAAATGGGCTCAGACCAGCACCTAATACTCTATACCACCACGAGCTCAGTGGATATGTGACCTAAGTATAAAAGAATATGTTATAGGTGGTCCCTATCAAATGTATGGTCAAGAAAGAATTGTCAAACGATCAATTGTCAAACCGAGGCTCAGAGAGTTTAAATGATACAGGTGAGCATAAAAGATAAAAGAGAATTTTGATGACACAAAATTAAAAAGCTTTTTTTTTATGAACAAAGTCAATCCACAGAGAATAGGAAGAAAGACAGATAAAAATCTTTGAACCAAATATCTCTGATAAAAGTCCATTGTGCAAGATATACAGGAACAAATATGACCAGGAATCATTCTCTAATAGGTAAGTAGTTAAGGGATAAATAATAAAAACACATCCATAGATTTAGAAGAAATAGTCCAGAGGTCTAATGACTTGTCCAGGGACACCTAGGCAGTAAACATCATCTGTGGAATTTTCAAGCCTGGTATTCTGTTGACAGGGCCAAGTGTCCCAGAGGATATGCAAATGGTTATAACACACATTTTTTAAAGTTCGAAATTACTAATAATAAGAGAAATGGAAATTTTAAAAATTCTGAGGTTTCACGCCACATTCATTAAATTGGCAAAGATGATAAAAATGTAAGTAGTTAATTTTGGAAGTGTTGGAGAAAGACAATAATAGGAATCATATAGTGCTTTAAAATTTGAGAAGCACTTTATATATATCATCTCATTTGATCCACAAACCTGAGAAGTAAATGGTATTATTATCTCCATTTTACAGATAAGAAAACTGAGGTCAAGAGAAGTTAAGAGACTTGCCTTGAGTAACATAGCTAGTAAATGACTGAGGCAATATTTGAACTCAGTTCCACCTGTCTCCAAGTACATCACTTGATCCACTATGCTACCTAGCACAGAATTACATTATTGGTGGGACTGCAAGTTGGTACAACCTTTATGCAATTTGAAATTAAGGGGGAATAGTCAACGAATTGCTCATATCCCTTGATCTGACAATTCTACTATGGGGTATATGCTTAATGAAGTTTAATGACTGAAAGAAAAGTTTTACATATAACAAAATATTCGTGGTAGTCTTCTTTGTAGTAGTAAGAAACTAGAAACAAAATGAATGTCCATCAACTGGAAAACAGCTGACCAATCTGTGGTATATGCATGTCATGGTATATTACTGAACTCTAAAAAATGACAAATAAGAGGAACTCAGAGAGATATACAAAGACAGGATTACACAGGATAACAGATCAAGGCCATCTTGTCCAATCCCATCATTTAACAGATGAGTAAACTGAGATCCAGAGAGTTCAAATGACTTAACTAAGGTCACATGGGTATTAAGTGGCCCAGTAGGAAGAAGGATTTGGATCAAATATCCCTAAGATCCTTTTCAACTTTATCATTATGCGAAACTTTGCTAAGCAGAGAAGGAGCCACATGCCTCATGGGAAAGAAGATCCCTCCCAGTCTCTTCAATCCCATCCTCTATCCCTTCCACCTTGGATTTCATCTGAGCCTAGGCTGGGTTCCATCCTTTAGCCAAGCGGCCAAGGATCTGTCTTGTGTCCTTCTCCCTGGTGGGCTTCTATCTTTAGGAAGAAAAATGCCATTGAATCACTGAGTGCTGGAAGAGAGGTTAGCAATGGCCTCGGGTAACTCTTTCATAAACATGCCCAACATTTCAGAGAGCTGGTATTTAAACCCAAGTCCTCGGACTCCAAATCCAATGCTCTTTCCGCTACCCCTGAATGGGAATGGGGATAGGAGACATAGGGTTGGGGTTGAGTTCAAGGTCGACCAGTCAGGGACTTACCTCCCACAGTGTGCCCTCTTCCTTGAGCACAGCTGCTAGCATGCAAGCAGGAATCACTATGCAAGACAGGAGGCCCATCAGGATGCCCAGGAGCTCAGCCCAGTATGGGAACCGGTAAGTGCCATATTCTGAGGGTTGGTATTTCACAACGCTGTAGACCAGCAGCGCCTGTGGGGTAGTCACCCTAGTGGTTACCATTGTGGCCCCAAGATACCTCAGCCCAACCCTGGACCAAGCACCTACCACTGACTCAGTCTAGGCACAGGCCTGGAGTCCATGTGGGACTGGTAAAGATATAAGGGTTGGGGAACCAGGGCCTGACTGATCCTGGAAGCACCACCACGTGATTACCCTCCTCCAACCCTCACTCATGGGAAAGGAAGTCATTCCTAGACTATCTGCCCTTGGACTGTCCCCTGTTAAGGGAGAAAAGGGACCTAGGATAGCCAACACATCTCCCTTTATTCCCATGGGGCAGGATCCCCAGTCTCCCAGTTACCATCAGGGTGGCTGGAGACAGGAACATCCAACAGGCTTTAAAATACAGACCAGGTTTGAAGCCCAGCATCATGTGAATGTCTCGACAAAACCTTTGGATACCTAAAAGGGAAGAGGAATATTGATTGGATGGGGGAGGGTTGGTTCTGGAAGGGTTGGAGAGTTCTTTCTGGCCACTCAGTGACAATCTTGGAGATATCAAAGCTCAGCCAAATATACCTTATCACACAGGGCAGGACAGGGACGCTGATATACAAAGGAGAAGGAGGGGTGCTGACCCTTGTTCCAGCATCGGAAAGATGGGAAATAGAAACCAAGGATCTCAACACCTGGACGGCTCTTCCTCTGTCCTCCTGCCTCCTTTGGCTCAAAGTGGGCAGCTGCAAGGTTGGGATTGCCCTGGGTCAAGGAATCAATTGGTCTACAAATTCTGAGTGGCAAGAGCTCTTTTAGCTCAACCCTCTCCGTTTTACTGAAGGAGAAAATACCCAAAGAAAGGCTGGAGGGGTTAAGTGATTTGCCTTTGGTCACAATGGGATACACAGCAGATCAGCAGAGAGCTTTGAGCTGTCCCCAGACAGGTTTGAATCTAAGCACCTGAATTTAATTTCTGGGGTTTCTTTAGGTATTGACTGAAGACAATGCTGGTGTTCAGTTGCTTCAGTCTTATCTGACTCTTGGTGATCTCATTTGGGGTTTTCTTGGCAAAGATACTGGAGTGGTCTGACATTTTCTTCTCTGGGTCATTTTACAGGTGAGGAAACTGAGGCAAACAGAGTGAAATGACTTGTCCAGGGTCACACAGCAAGTGTCTGACACTGGATTTGAAGTCAGGAAGATGAGTGTTCCTGACTCCAGGCCTGGCACTCTATCCATTGAGTCACCGAGCTGCCCTCTGAAGACTTAAATTTGATCACCCAAACGTTCTCTTTAAATGACAAAATTGGTTTATCTATAGACCCCAAAAGGTCTGGGAGGAGCTAGGGCACTCAGCCTGCTTGGTGACCTTTTTCATATAATTGATTTTATTTCTTTTGTGTCTTTACTTGTGAGTAAATAGCTATATAGTTATGCCTTATTTACATGGTCAACTCCATTATGTCATGCCTCTGTAGATTGAATGCCACTGAAACTCAGCAAAGGGAGGAAGGTGGGTGGACTCTAATTGGATAAATGCACGCACCCCATACTCCTTGACTACTCAGACTGGTGTAAAAGGCCAGGGGATAGAGGCAGTCTGCTTTCTGAGAAGCTTAGACAGCTTACAACTCCCTCAGATTCTCTCCACCCTAAGCACACTGTCTAATTACAGCTGCCAAAGTGAAGGCTCATGGAACTTCCTGGTACCATTCCTTCTGCCACCGATGTTGAGCCCCACTGCCTTCCCTGTGCTGGCACCACCTAAGTCTTATACTGCCCTGGCTCGCATCACGTACATAATTCAATTCAATTCAATCAACAAGTTTTTATTAAATGCTCTGTGCTATGAGAGAAAAAAGGAAGTTAGAGACAGCTCTGTGTAGTTTGGGGGATTCTTTCTTTCTTTCCTTCTTTCTTTTTCTTTCTTTCTTTCTTTCTTTCTTTCCTTCTTTCTTTCCTTCTTTCTTCCCTCCTTTCTTTCTTTCTTTCTTTCTTTCTTTCTTTCTTTCTTTCTTTCTTTCTTTCTTTCTTTCTTTCTTTCTTTCTTTCTTTCTTTCCTTCCTTCTCTCCCTCCCTCCCTTCCTTCTCTCCTTCCCATCTCTCTCTCTGTCTCTCTCTCTCTCTCTCTTCCTCTCTCCCTCTCTTTCTTTTGCTTTTATCACTTCTGTTTATACTTCTGCTCTATGACCTTCCTTTGGTACAGTTGTGATGAGTGTGCCTGTGTTCTGTCTTCCTAAGTGGATTATAAACTTCTTTTAGCCTGTAAGCAGGTCCTCTATTTCTCTCTTTCTCTTTCTCTTTTCTTTTCTTTTCTTTTTTTCTTTTGGCTAGGCAGTGGGGTTAAGTGACTTGCCCAGGGTCACACAGCTAGTATGTGTTATGTGTCTGAGTCTGGATTTGAACTCAGGTCCTCCTGAATCCAGGGCCGGTGCTCTATCCACTGCGCCATCTAGCTGCCCCTCTTTCTCTTTTCTTATCTTCCCTCAGGGCCTAAGATGGTGTGTTAAGCACATAACAGGTAGTAGCTGTAAGCCATGGGTTCAGAACAAGTGGGGCATAGTTATACCGTTTTAAGTCTCCAGTCCTTTTCTCTGGGCCCCTCCAGAGTCTTACTCACAGAATAGAACCTCTTATACTTCCCTGAAAGGAAGTAACTAAATAAAAAAAATGTTTTTTAAAAAGAAAGGAAGTAACTCGGGCACCCAGACTGCCCACCCTCATTGGCTCCCAAGCTGTTTTAATCAACTGAATTTTCTAGGACCCAGCAAGGGGAATTTGTGTCTCCTGATTCTTGAACTGATCCAGCTTCTCTCCAGCCATCCCAATATCACTTCCACATCTGTGCTCATAATCCTTCCTTTTTCTTGGTCCTTGCCACTCATCTCCTAACCCCTTTCAGAAACTGACAAAGGGACACAAGGGGATTCAGGAATTTTGGAATCAGGGCCTCAGGCATCCCCTGTCACACCTCCAGGTGGTTCGGTCACCTGCCTTCTTCCTTGGGGGGAGGGGCTTACATCCCATGGACATTCCTGAACTGGCCTAGCCTCCACTTCACTGCGGACTGGGCCTTCCTTACCGTACACACGGGTGACCGTGAGGCAGGTTGTGATCACCACCACCATGAGCCCAAAGCCAGCACTGTAGTCATCCAGCAGGACCAGCCAGTACATACCTCCCTAGAACACAAGCCAAGGGCCGTGGACCTTGTCCTTTCTGGGGAGCCCTCTTCCTTAGAGGATGCAGGGAGGAAGCAGGAAGTCTAGGGTAGGGGAGGGATATGGGGCATGGGAGTGGGGGACGGAGATGGGACCCTTCCTCCCTTCCAAAGAAGTAAAACAGGTTTATAATTGAACTCAGACGGGGCGCAATTGTCTGGGTCGGGCCATTGCAGGCTTCCGCAAGAGCAGCGGACCACTATAGATTGTCTCAGGGTTGAAGTGGAGGCTTATGGGAGGGGAGAGGTGTGTGAGGGGGGCAGTCCCTCCCACTGCCCATGTCATTGCAGAAGCTCACATCTGTGGTGAGGATGAGGCCCATCAGAAACATGGCCACACAGATGGTGCCGGAGAAGACAGCCTTCTTGGGTCGAAGGTAGTAAGGGAATTCATCCGTCAGAGCTGTCACGATGGTTTCTAGGAAGGCAAACTGGGGACAGAGGGAGTGTAGTATAAAGTCTGTCAGTGAAACGCGGGGTAGGGGGAAATCAAGACTTTCTGCTAACCCAGCCCCCGTACCGAGCATGCTTACCTGACTGTCCAGGCCTAGGGTCAGCAGCATGAAAAAGAAGAGAAAAGACCAGAATGGCGACAGGGGGAGCATCGTCATGGCCTGGGGGTAGACCACAAATGCCAGGCCAGGCCCTGGACGGCAAAAACAGAGGGTATAAGGTCAGTGGCGGCCCAAACATCCGGAAGAGGTCTTCCACTGCTCCCTAGATGGTCCCTCATGCCAATCTTCTTCCTATTACCCTGCCCTTACAAAGGGACATAGAGAGGTCTGGAATCAGAGTGCAGAGGGATGGTGAAGATCATCTAATTTCATCACATCTCTCTCTCTCTCTCTCTGTAACAAAGGAGGAAACTGTGACCCAGAGAGGGAAAGCAACTTCTCCAAGGTCACACAGGTGATAAATAACAGTGCTGGGATTAATACCCAGGTTCTGTGATTTCAAGTCCAGTCTCCTTTTCACTAGGCCTGCTGTCTTTCGCACTGCTTATAGCTTTTTGACCCTTGAGGCAAGAGGCAAGGCCATGTCCCGGGTCACATAGTCAGGAAGGAAGCGTTTCTGAAGCTCCCAACTATGCACCGCGCATTGCGCTAAGTACTTCACAAATAATCTCTCACTTAATCTTCGCAACAACCCTGGGAAATAGGTGCTATTATTATCCTTGTCTTACAGTGGAAGAAGATGAGGCAAACAGAAGTTAAGTGACCTTCCCAGGGTCACACAGCTCGTAAGTGTTCAAGGCCAGATTTGAACTCAGACCTTCCTGACCTCAAGTCTAGCGCTTCATTCTGTGGCAGGCATCGCAGGACTGCCCAACAAAGTGCCTCTCTATTTCCTCAGACTATCTGTCTGGCTTCCCATGAACACTAGGAAACTCGAAATCATAATAAATTAAAGGGGAACAACACGGCACATTGGAAAGAACACAGGCATGTGTATGAAGAGACCTGAATTCTAGCTGCTAAGTCCCTGTGTGGCTCTGGGCAGGTTAGTTTTCTTCCCTCTTTTGTTATATCAGGACTCGTTATGGGGAGGGCTAGATTTGATGGTGCATCTTTCTGAACTGACTCGGTGAGTACCTAGTCTACTCCAGGAGGCAATTCAACGCATTGGAAAAAAAGGCACCAATTCTGAAGTCAGAAGACCTAGGTTCAAATCCTGCCTTTGAAGCTATTTGTGTGACCTTGGATAAGTCACATCACCTCCTTAAGCCTCAGTGCACCCATCTGTAAAATGAAAGGATTGGATTAGATGGCTCTTTCCAGCCTCTATGATACTATCATCCCAAGAGGCTGCCACCATCAAGAGGACTGATTTTATTATTCTTACAATTCTTCGGCCTGATCACTGCCTTCCCTCCACTGCTTTGCTTCTCACAGTCCCACCTGGATTCATTTCTACCAACTCCCTGACCCACCTTCACGGATGCAGGGGTCTTTGGGGCTCAGAAGGATATGACAAAATAGAAAAACAGAACAGCAATGACAACAAAAAAAAACCCAACAAAGGGCAAGTTTGAAAATGAGAACGAAAGGCCCACTGTGCAGGGAAATCAGTAGGGGCTGGGGACAAGGAGACGAAAGCAGCTTTGTTCTTGGAAGGTAGCGGAGGCAACTGATGACCCATTTGGGAATGACATAGGCTGAAAATAGCACTTACATAGAAATATGGAGCCATAGACTGTCAGAGCCAGAAGAGACTCAGAGAAGCAGTTCTTAACCTTTTTTATGTCCAACCTTCGGTACTCTGGGTGGAGTCTATGTACCCCTTCTCAGAATAATATTTTTAAATGCAAAAACTAAAATATATAGGATTAAAAAGGAAACCAATTATGTTGAAATAAAGATTTTCTTTCTCATCTGAGTTCATAGTCACCTGGAAATCTATATCTCAGTTTCAGGACCTCTGCCTTAGAGATGATTGAGTCCAATTTCATACGGGGAAACTGAGGCCCACAGAGTGGGAATAACTTGCCCAAAAGAGTAGAGCCATGATTCAAACCAGGACTGCACCTCTATCACAGACTTCTAAAAGGTAGCCCCAACATCTTCTTTCAGAAATGTGGAAGTCTTCACATATTCTCATGCCCCAAACACATAACCAAGCTTCCTTTCACATTCCCCCAGATCACACCTACAACTCTCTCCACACAACAAACAAACATCCACCCATCATGTCACCCTCAAGTGCTAGACCCACACACATATGGTACCACATGCCGCCTCTCTGCCCGACACATTCGAAATAGCCCATCTGTCTACCTGCTTTGGCCACCTGGTCCACAGGGACTCCCAGCTCCTGAGACATGTAGCCCAGCACAGAGAAGATGGCAAAGCCAGCCAGAATGCTGGTGATTGCATTGCCCAAGGTGACAATGAATGTGTCTCTGGGAAAGGAAGAGGGATAGGGTGGGATAGGGACCACTTGGCATGAGAGGCCATGATGTCTCTATCCTGTTTTCCCTGACCCTATGAGGGTCAGTTTGCCCACCCTTTGACTCTCCCACCCCCAGGGAAATGACCCTCTGGGAAGAGAAGGCTGCAGGGGACTGACCTGTAGATATTTTGGTGAAAGGTGTTGTAAGAGGCAAAGGTAAGGAGGCCCCCAAAGCCCACCCCCAGGGAATAGAAGATCTGCAAGGCTGCCTCAATCCATACCTGCAGGGGAAGAGTAGAAGTGAGAGGGAGAGAGGAAAGAGAGGGGAGAAAATGGGGAGAAGCAGATGAAAGGTAAAGATGAAGAGCTAAGGGGAAAATGGAGAGGTTGAAGAACCCCTTTGGTTGAGGAGAGATGAGGGGAGAGAAGACACAAAGAAAATTGTCCTGGAAAGCCCCCCCCCCAAAGGATGACCCTTTAACCTCCTCTATCCTTCTTTCCTGATCATAGGAACTGATCCTTAGGGAATGTTTGCCTGTCTGCCCAATGTTCCAGTCCAGCTGGCTCCCTTAACTAGAGAAAAGAAAGGGAAACATGCAACCCAAACCCAAATACATTCTCACTCTTGCCCACAGAGGTACAGAACACATATGTGCCTGTACATGCGTGTAAGCACACTGAAACAACCAGAGCCCCTCTTACTTTCCATCCCTGCTCTGATTCCCTACCCGACAATATGCTGGGCTGCCCCTCCCTCAGTTCCATAACACATGTATAAACCCTACGAGGTGAACAGTCCCCATCTTGCTCTTCTTTTCCTTCCCCTTCTCATCCTGCTCCCTAACCCTCTACTTCAATCTACCTACCTTGGAAGTTAGAAGGTGATCAAACTGGGGTGTGAGATAGAACTGGATCCCCCTCCAGGCACCCTGAAGTGTCAGCCCCCGAACCAGCAGCATGAGGAGGATGAGGTATGGGAAGGTGGCTGTGAAATACACCACCTGTAGAGGAGACGAGGAGTGGGAGCCTAGGACGGAGCTGAGGAAGGGAGGCAGCTCTCCACAGTCCTGATTATCCATGCTATGGATAGAGTGTCAGACTTCTGGCGTCAGGAAGATCTGAATTTGAATCCTGCTTCACACACTCAGCTATGACCTCGGGCAAGTAATTTAACCTCCCTTGGCCCCAGTTTTCTTAACTGTAAAATGAGTATAATAATAGCACCTACCTCACAGGGTCATTGTGAGGGTCAAAAGAGCTAACATAATTAAAGTGCTTTATAAATATCAAAGCACTATATTATCATCACCTTCCTATCTGGGGCTTTTGTGGGCTTTGGAAAAAGGAAGAAGTCTGTTCTGGTGGTCATTTTAGAGCTGTCTTCCCTGGAATATTTCTTTATATTTCTCTATTAGATAATGAGGTCCCTGGAAGCAAAGATTAAGTCTTTCTCATTTCAGCATCTCCCCCACATAACCTTAGCATAAAGCCCTGTACGTGGCAGTTATTTCCCAGGTATCTCTGAGCAGCTGGAGGAACTCAGGGTCTCATAGCTCCCATCCTAACCTGAGTCAGGACAAGCCTTCTGGAGTCTCACCTTGCCAGAGGATTTTACTCCCTTGAGGATGCAGAGGAAGACGATGACCCAGGACAGTAAGAGGCAGAGACAGAGTTTCCATTGAATCTCACCTGGATCTCCGATGCCTGTACTCCCTTGTATGTGGAGGACATATCGGCTAGGGCAAAAGAAAGAGGCCTGAATGTCCCAAGGCTGTGGTTACCATATTCTAGGACAGGATAGATATACCAACTCAAAACCCACCAGGCCTCACATCCAGGACCCCAGGAACCTCAAGTCTTCCTTCAGTATCTATGCCTATGCACACAGAAATAATTTGAAATCCCTGAGTAAAGGGAAACCTTTGCCCTGTTCCTAGATCTGAGAAATCAGATTGATAGGGAATTAGCATTAAGTTCCGTGTAATGACAGTCACTGGCCTAGGAAGTCAGGAGACCTAATTGTAACTCACTGTGTGACGTTGAACAAGTCATTTATCTCTATGGGCCTTGGTTTCTTAATAATAAAATTCTAATTTATACAGTACTTTCACATTCACAAAGCATTTTCTGTACTCTAACCTTTGCAACGGGCAGATATATAAACATTTCTATTCCCATAAAACAGGTGAGGAGACTGAGGTGAGGAGAAATTGATGAACCAAGAAAATCTCACCGCAGGTGACCTTGAAAATCATCTCACTTGAGCCATCCCTGAACCAGATTCCCTCTACAGCATCCCCCAACAGCCAGCCTCCATTTACAAACCTCCAGAGAGGAGGAATCCTTTTTTTTCCCAAGGCCACCCATTCCACTTTGGGGCAGCTATAATTGTTAGGAAGTTTTTTCCTAATGTGGAGCCAAAATCCATCTCTCTGCAACTTTCCCAAAGCTGGACAAGTCCAATCTCTCTTCCCTTGAAAACCCTAAAAAATACTTGAAGACAGCTACTGTGACATGCTCCCTCTTCCACCATCAACACACACTCTCAAGTCTTCTTGTCTGGCAAAATATTCTGTTGTGCAGCCAGTGAGTCTGTTAGACCCAGGATCCAAACACAGATTTCCCGATTTCAAGCTCAGCAGTCTTTCCATTTTTTAGGGGGAGGCCAGACCTATGATTTTATTGGTAGCAAAGATTCCCTCCTCTCCAATTTATGATCTTAGAAAGTTGCCTGGTGCATTAAAAAGTTGGGAACTTGACTAAGGTCATCCAATCAGTATGTATCAGAAGAGGTCTTGAGCCTTCCACACTGCCCTCAGCCTTTCCCACTGCCTCCATAGCTTTTCCACCATATTCCATAGCAGTGTTTCTCATATTGCTATAAGAAAGCCTGAAACACCCCAAGTTCATCATTTTAAAAAATAATGAACCTTACGCTATTTGTTCGTAGGCATTAAAAATAATGATTTTAGAGAACTTTATTACAAGGGTTCTAGCACTGTGGGGAAGTTGGGGGACTACTATGCTATTGAATGAAGGGACTATAGGGTTCCTAAGGCCCTTTCCATCTATAGGAGGCTCTGGCTCTAGGGCTTGTCCACAATTCCTGAGGCATCCCAATTCATAGTCCTTTGGCGTGAGGCTACAGTGCCCACTGGGACCCTGGCACACCAAAAGCCATGACCCAGGGTCCAAGGCAAGTGGGTGCCAGGCATAAGGAACTCCCTCCTTCCTCCCTCGCTCCCCAAACCTTTGGCCAGCTGGCCTGACCTCCAGTACTCCTCGCTGGGGCTGACGGTGTTGGACATGTTGAGGGGCAGCGTGCCATTGGCTTCTCTCATTGCATGGTGGTCCAGGCGAGGTCCGTGTTCCACCAGTTACCACAGTGCTGCCAGGGCAGGTGGCTGGTTAGGGAGGCGAAGAGGTAGAACAAGACGTAGGCGATGATCATGTTGTAATAGATGGCCACCAGGGAGACGATGATGAGCATGGCCACGCCAACACCTGCAGGGCCCACACAAGGGGAGCAGTGGAGGCAGCCTCACTTCTGCCTTCTCAGCCCTCCTTCTTCCTTGGCAGGCAGAGATGGGCCCCATGACTCAGACACCCCACCACTACCCAAAGGTCCACATCAGCATGCTATGGGATTTTGGTATAGGGGAAAGAGCATTGCACTTCAAGTCTGAGGACCTGGGTTCAAATCCTGGCCCTGTCTCTTGCTGGCTATGTAACTTTGGGCAAGATAATAAAGACAGTTAGCATTTATAGAGCACTTTAAGGTTTGCAAAGCACTTTACAAACATTTTTATCCTTATGATAACACTGAGAGATAAGTGCTATTATTATCTCCATTGATAGATGAGGAAACTGAGGCAGAGAGAGGTTAAGTAAATCACCTAGAGTGTCACATAGCTAGTAAGTATCTGAGGCCAGATTTCAACTCAGGTCTTCTGGATTATGGGCCCAGCTCTCTATGTACTGTGCCAGCTAGCTGCCCCCGGGCCTCAGTTTCCTTATCTATAAAAAGAAGGGGTTGGACTAGATGATCTCTGAGCACCCTTCCAGATCTAAAACAATTATCTTGAAATCTCTTGTGAACCTTGACTTTTCTCTATATGGAAAATAGCCACGATGGGATGGCAGAGACTTTTCAAAGAGCCTGGAGCCTACTGACGTGCTCCAGGAAAGCACTCCTTATCTCCCTTTCAGTCCTAAGTTCTGCTGGGTGGGAGAGATGCAGGAAAGCCAAAAGGATTGCTCTGCGGTGTAAATGAGGGGCTTTACCTTTGAAGAGAGGGCTGATCTTCCATACAGCAAGTGGGCCCAAGCTAGAGAACTGGCCCAGGGAGAGCTCCAGGAAGAAGAGAGGGATGCCGCAGATGGTCAGCATGATGAAATAGGGCACAAGAAAGGCACCTGAAAAGACAGGACAGGGGAAGGGGAGACACCCCAGATGGGCAGCCTTAGGGGAATCTGACTGCACATATGGCTAAGAAGTGAGGAGGTTATGTGTTCTCTCTGCCTTTTTCTCCTTCCCCTCTCTCCTTTCCCCTCCTTCTCTTCCCTTCTTCTTTCCTTCCTTTTTTTTTTCTCTCTCTCTGTCTTACTGTCTGTCTCTGTTTCTTTTCTGTTTTTCTCTCTCTTGTTGTCTGTCCATATCTCTTGCCCCCCCAACTTAGTCGGTCATTGTGTATGTGTGTGTGTGTCTATCTGTCTCTGTCTCTTCTGTCTTTCTTGTCTGTCTGTCTATATCTCTTGTCCCCACCTCCAAGTTGGTCATTGTGTGTATGTGTGTGTGTGTGTGTGTCTATATGTCTATGTGTCTGTCTCTGTCTCTTCTGTCTGTCTCTGTCATTCTCCCTCCTTACCTTCCCCTGTGTGTCTCCTTCCCCCGCTTTCCTCTTTTCTCCCCCTCATCCCCCCACCCCCCATTTCTCTCTGTGACTTTAAACAAGTCACTTCCTCTATCTGGACCTATTTCTTCCTCTATAAAATGAGCAGGGTGCACTTAATTTCCCAGCACGGACGTTTTCTCTTCCGTTTGAAGGTCCCTCCCAGCTCTGATAGTCCATGTTCTAAAGTCCAGACCACCCCTAATGCCTCTTCACCTGCCAGTGGATACCAGTAAGGTATTGCCACCCTTGGAGCAGTTTAACCCAAACACACAAACCAGACTTGAAGTTGGGAAGCCAGAGGTCCAACCCAAGATTCTTTATTTACTAGCTCGGTGACCCTGGGCAATTTACACTCTCCGAGAGTCAGTTTCGTGATCTTAAAATGACCACGGTCGTTCTCGTATTCCTTTCTTCACAGGATTATCATGAAGAAAGTAAACTTTAAGCACTATAGAAATGTAAGTTGTTGTTTTTGGCTTGGACTTACGATTCCATTGGGAGAGGGAATTCCCAACGAGGAAAACCCCTTCTATCGATGCAGATCAGCACCATCGTAAATCAGCAATTTACAATCTTAAGAGAATTGCTGCTTCTGCTGCTGCGGCTGGTACTGTTGCTCAGTGGAGTCTGACTCTTGCTGACCCCATTTGGGGTTTTCTTGGCAAAGATACTGGAGTGGTTTGCCATTTACTTCTCCAGCAGCTAGGTAGTACAGTGGTTAGAGCGCCAGGCCTAGAGTCAGGAAGACTCATCTTCCTGAGTTTAAATCTGACCTCAGATACCTACTGGCTGTGTGACCCTGGGCAAGTTACTTAACCCTGTTTGCCTCAGTTTCCTCCTCTGCAAAATGAGCTGGAGAAGGAAATGGCAAACCACTCCAGTATTGTTGCCAAGAAAATCCCAAATGAGGTCGTGAAGACTCTTCCTGATCTCAAGTCTAAGCAAACAGTCACAAAATTAGTAAGTGTCTGAGGCCGGATTTGAACTCAGATCTTAATGACTCTAGGTCTGGCCCTCTATCTATTGCTCTACCTAGCTGCCCAGAGAATTGTTAGAATCACTAAAAGATGAAGAGCTCTGTTCAGGGCCATACGGTCAGTGTGTAGGAGGTAGGACTTGTACCCAGGACTTCCCGAACTCCGAGGTCAGCTTGTTATCCATGCTATCCTCCTCACTCCAGCAAGGCTGAGCCAAAACACAGTGGTGCTGAAAGGATGAGTCTCTCACTTGAGGTTAAGCAGGTGAAAGACCATTTCAAGGCTTATTACGTGAACTCCTGAACAACCCGGCTTTCAGTTGTGGGGAGGCAGCACAGGATGCTGGAAAGAATATTATAATCTAATAAAGAATATTAGAAACTGGGCTTTAATTCAGATTCCGACGCTAGCTGTGTGCCGTGGGCAAGTTGCTAAGCCTCTCAGAATCCGGACTTGCAGTCAAAGGAGCTGGATTGGAATAGTTGTTCTGCTTGCATTCCCTGTGTGATTTTGGGCCAGTCTCTCTATCTCTCCCAGGGGTGGGGAGCCTGCGACCCTGAGGCCACACGTGGCCCTCTAGGTCCTCAAGTGTGGCCCTTTGACAATCCAAATGTCACAGAACAAATTGGATTGTTTGGATTCGGTCAATGGGCTGCACTTGAGGACCTAGAGGACCACATGTGGCCCTCGAGGCCACAGATTCCCCATCCCTGCTGGGCCTTGATTTGAAAAATTAGGAAGCTTGACTAGATCTCTGAGGCGCCTTCCAGTGCTAATATCTATGATCAGGGAGCTTCAGACTCCTCATTCATTAAATGGGCCTAATTGTTCCTATCACTTCTTTGCCAAAGGAACCTTCACTGGTTTCCTATTGGATTCTAAATAAAGCCCACGTTTCTCAGTCTTCCATTTGAGACCCTATAAAATCTGGCTTTAACTGACCTAGTCAGTAGGTAGTTGGATGAACACAGTGCTCATGGGTGCTGGGCCTTGAATCAGGAAGAGCTGGGTTCAAATTTGGCCTGAGACACTTACGGGCTGTGTGGCCCTAGGCAAGTCACTTCACCTCTATCTTACCCTCCGTTTCCTCAACTGTAAAATGGAGATAATAACAGCACCTACCTGACAGGGGGGTTGGGAGGCTCAAATGAAGTAAGAAGTGTAAAGTGCTTAGCACCGTGCCTGGCACACAGTAGGTGCTTAATAAATGCCTGGTTCCTTCCTTTCCAGACTTGCCTCTGTGCATGATGTGTTCTGGATGCCCCTCTGTACCTTGTCATTCTGGCTCCTCTGCAATTAGCCACACTGCTCCCCACACTTAGCCTTCCTCTTCCATTATTGTCTGTGGCATTTCCCATTTTTTCCCAAAGACTCTCCTCAAATTCCAGCTCCACCAGGAAGCCTCCTCTGAACCCACCAGTCAGAAACTCTTTTCCCTCCTGGGCGCTCACCCACATCCTTACTGTGCACTTTCAATCTGGCATTATGGCCCTGTTCTTATCCTATGTACCCAGTAGATACTGAGCTCCTCGAGAGAAGGGAATCCACGTTGTTTGTCGCCGTATTTTCCCCAGCACCAGGCACAGCTCTCTACACAGAGTAAGGCTTAAAGCACATTTCACATGAAGGAGAGAAGTGCTTCTCACAGTACAGAGCCAGCTCTTTATCCTTCAAGCTGCGGGTGGCAGAGGCCTAGGCCCTAGGTGGGCCTAACCTTCCCCCCTGTGAATCCCAGCAGGAGGCCTGGCAGGAAGCCAAGGTCCAGGAAGAGGCTGCCCAGAGCTGTCTCAGGAAAGTTAAGTGATGAGCTAATGAGGAGAGGGGAAGGTCCTTAAGGGGGCAGGACCTCACACCTGGCACATGGCCTGGAACAAAATCAGCGTTTAATAAATTATTGTTGAATTGAATTGTATCTTTAGGGTACCACTGCTGTGCAGAGGAGGCATAGCATGTTGAAGCTGGAACTCACATTCTATAAGCATAAAGTACTGACCATGTAGACCTACACTGTGCTAGGTTCTGGGTATTCTAGTTAGAAAGAGAAGAGGCAAACAGTACCTGCCCCGAGAGCTTATAGTCTAATGAGAGTGGGGGATGGGAATAGAAGCTGTACTCAGAGAAGTAAATACTATGGATAGGCAGCTCAGTGGATAGGATGTGGAGTCAAAAAGATCTGGGTTCAAATCCTGACTTGAGCATTTATTATATGTGTGACCCTGGGCAAGTCATTTAACCTCAAGTTTTTTTCATTTGTAAAATGGGAATACTACTGGTGAGTTAACATGTGTAAAGGGCTGCATTAAGCAATTGCTAGTTAATGTTATTAAATGCAAGGGGATTTGAGAAGGGAGAGAGTGCAGCAACCAGGAACTTGATGGAGTGATTAGAAAGACATTTGAAATCTTATAGTCCAGCCCTTTTCATTTTGTAGAGGGAGAAACAGCCTTGGAATGATGTAATTAGAAAGGTAGCTGAGATTTTATAGTCCAATTCCTTCATTTTACATAGAGAGAAACAGGCCTAGAGGGATGAAGACTTGACTTGGCTAAAGTCATCCAACCAGGGCCAGAACTGGAGCCCACTTGGTCTCCTCAATTCCATTATCAGACTTCTTACCACCTCATTGTGCAGCCCATACCTTTCGTTTTGTTTCTGTTTTTGTTTTTTTGCTACGCAATGGGGTTAAGTGACTTGCCCAGGGTCACACAGCTAGTAAGTGTCAAGTGTCTGAGGCCGGATTTGAACTCAGGTCCTCCTGACTCCCGGCCCGGTGTTCTATCCACTGTGCCACCCAGCTGCCCCCAGCCCATACCTTTTGAGTGAGTTTTTTAGTCAGAGATACCAAAGTCTTGAACTGTTCCCCTTCCTCCCAATTAGAGAAGATGGGGGGGGGGGCAGGAATCAAGGTGGAGAAAGAGGAAAGGGAGGTGGGAGAAAGAGGAGAGCAGAAATAATGGAGAGGGAAAAGAGGGACCAGAGCAAGATAGGAGAGAAAGAGGAAGAAGAGAAAGACTGAGGACTCGTGGCTGTTTTCCAGGGTCTCAGCCTTCTGATACAGAACAAGAGTTGGGGGAAGGCTAAGTCTTGGCAGCTAGAGTAGATAAGGTCATGCCTGGAGCCCAGTTCTCTGGCACTTTACCCTGCCCCTTCTACTCCTTCCCCCCTGCCAGCCTCCAATTTAATTGAGTGATTATGGAATGGGCAGAAATCACACTTCACTTTGATAAAGATAGACAGACAGACAGACAGACAGATAGACAGATAGATAGATAGATGGATAGAGATAGGTACTGGGGAATACATGCAAGATGGTCCTTGCCCTCAAGGAGCTTGCATTCTAATGGAAGAAGACAACACATAGAATGGATCCACACGGGCCACTCTGTCAGCATAACCCCATCCTAGGGCAAGAATGGGTCAAAGGTCCCCTACCTCCTCCATTGGTGTAAGCTCGATAGGGGAAGCGCCAGACGTTGCCTAGGCCCACACAGTAGCCAATGCAGGAGAGAAGGAAGTCCAGCTTCCCTGTCCAGTTTCCACGGTCTGCAGTAAAGTCTATGTCCAGGTCTCCATCACCCTGATCACTAGGGGTCATCAGTAGATCTGAAGTCACAGGCTGCCAGCAAGAAATACCGGAAGGATGAGGGAGAGGAAGAAGAAATCCAAAGGGCAGAGGTGAGGCCTAACCTCACTCCACCCCCCCACCCCAACCCCACCACTGTAGGAAAGGCACCCTTCCTACATATACCAAATCAAATCAACAACCATTTATTAAGTATTCACTATGAGCCAGACATTGTGATGACTGCTGGGGATAGAAGGAAAGGTAAAGACAGCCCCTGCCCTCATGGAGCTCACAACCTAATGGAAGAGACAACACAGAAATAGCTATGTACAAACAAGCCATATACCAGACACCTCCTCTTGCTTCTTAAGTTTCTGGACGCAAGAATGATGAGAGTGGGAGAAACCTATGAAACAAGGACAGAAAGGAAGGGAGAGCAGAGCCACGAGGGCTGTCTGGAAGGCAGAGTGTCTCCTACCAAAAGACAGATCTAGCTGGGGAGAAAGGTGGTCATCTTCCCCGAGTGAGTGCTCAAATCCACCTTGTGCAACAAAGGGTAAGTGGCCAGAGAAGATTAATGTCAAATCAGGCCAAAGGCTTAAGAAATTTTAAAAAAAAAGACACCTCCTTTCTCACTATGTTGCCTGGGGAAATTCATGGAAAGGGCAAACCAGGTTGTAATCCATGGTCAGTACTCAGTGCTTACTGAGTCGAATTAAATTTTACTATCCATCTGGGGCCTAGTACAGTTTTGGGCATTCCCTGGACACTCATGTCAAATGACGGCGATGATAATGGGGACATATTGATGTGAAAGTGAACGTGGTGACTGAATAGTTATTTGTGTTTGTGTCTTCTCTCCTTCCTTGGTCGTAAGTTCTGGAAGGACAGGGCTTATTGTTTTATTTACACTTTGTGTCTCTCCTGGATATTCTCTCGGTCACCTACCTGGGGAAGACCCGAAGTCTATTATTACCAAAACAGACAGCCAAATGACTTTCAAAAACTACTGACCCACATGGCTCCTTTTCATCCATATGGAGGACCTCCTTGATAATGGTATTAAAAGGGATCAGACGGGCAAATACTCCATCGCAATATTCCACAGCAGACTATGTCTTCCCTATCATCCACTTGACTGGAAAGTATAGAGGATACAGGTGTTTATTGTGTCATTCATTGGTCATAACTAAAAGTGTTCGGTTCAACACAGTGAAATGCTTCCTTAAGTGTCAAAATGACCTAAGTTTTCTGGAAAGATTTAACAGTGCAAATAACTTTGTTTTACAGCCCTCTGCTTGTTAATATCAAGTGATGTGTAAAACACGGAGATGTGCTTGCCAAAGGCACTTGGCTCCGTCGTAGAGAAGTCCAGCTGAGCTCGTGTCAAAGAGGGATTCTCTCTGTGCTCTTGGTCACAGATGACATTTTCTGCTGATTGCATTAAGCCCTGGCACACTGCAGAGTCTCCTGAATGGGCTCCAAGATCACGTAAGTCAGTCTGGCCCAATTATCTACATAAGAAAAACAAAGTAGACAAATAATGACTACTGACCAGACTACGATATGCAATTGGGTGGGTAACCTGTGGCATTTGTCCATCACTGTATAGATCTGGGACTGATGTTGCAAAATGACAATAAGCCAAGCCCAGAATTAAATAGGAGGAGAGTAGGATGGATTGCATTTGGAAAGCTGAAAAGTTCTTCTAAGAACCTGTCTAATTCCTTGAGACAAAGACCTACTTTTTTTTTTCACCAATACTCTTTAATACTGCATGGCTGGGAGTCATGCAACACTACGGTCTCCCAAGAAGTAAAGTTGAGGATCCCCCCAGTGGGCCATGGAGAAGTGCATAGTGAACACGAGCAGGCTGAAATGCATTACGAGCAAAGACTCCATGAAAGGTATGTACAACCAGGAAGAAAAAGGAATGGGTGTTTCATGAGCAAAAATAAAGGATATCTGATGAACAGGTAAGCCTGTAGACTCATACCACTGCTACCTATGAAATACAGAGTATGTGAAGGCTTCCAGCACATTGGGTGGTCTTCCCATGGTGAACTTAAGAGAGGACATAAATGGGAGTCACTGAGGATGGGCAGACATAGGTGTATGGCAATCTATATTGTTGAATAGCTACGTGAACGAAATCACAGATTTCCTGGAATAATGGAGTACCTCCATTTACACTGTGCTCTGTACATTATTTTCTCCTGTTATTTCATTGGCAAAGAGAGTCCCCTGGGGTGACTTCTCCTACCAATGTCTTAGAAAGGTGCCTGGAGCACTGAGGGGTTCATGACTTGCCTAGGATTATACAGCCACCATGTGTCAGAGGGGGACTTGGACCCAGATTACCCTGACCATCCAGGTTGGCTCTCTATCTCCTAAACTGTCCTGATTCTCATATAGATTATGATCTCTTGAGATCAGGGAATGTGTTTCTTTGAATCCCCAGCACTTAGCAAAGTGCCTGGCATATAGTAGGTGATTAATAAATGTTTATTGGGGCAGCTGGGTGGTGCAGTGGATAGAGCACTGGCCCTAGATTCAGGAAGACCTGAGTTCAAATCCAGCCTCAGACACAACACTTACTAGCTATGTGACCCTGGGCAAGTCACTTAACCCCCCCCCCAATGTTTATTGATTGACTGACAAAGTAGACACAATGTTTGCTCAATGAGTGACCTCACTGACAGTGATGATGGAGGCGCTGATGGTGGTGGTGATGAAAGGCACCACTTTTGATCATAATGGTGACAGTGAGAGTGATACTTGTTATAGCAGCTATTCCAGAGGGATAGTACTAAGGGTTAACCATTCAACAGCTGTTCCACTCCATTCATGGCACATGCATCATAGTGACTTTTCCAGCTGGGCTTAGATCTGCTAGAAACAAGCCCCCTGCCAAGCCCTCAGCACTCCAGGCCTGCTTCCTCTCCTTCTGCCTGGTTAACCCTCTTCTAGAACCTCTCCTTCACAGCTGAGCCCTAAAAGCAATAAGAAAACACCAGGATGTGGTGATGCCTGGCTAGGGCAAGAGTAGCTGCTAGCAAGAGCGGGTAGAGTTTGCAAGATGCCAGGTGGCCCGGCACCACCCCAAAACCCCCTCTCCAGGGGCACAGGCAGCCAGAGGAACCAGCTAATGAGGCCTCTCTCCCCACTCCCTGGGAAGAAGCTGCCCTTTTCCGCTCTGTTTCCATGGTGACAAAGAGTTCCGAGAGCAGGATGCTTGCAGCGCATTTCCACCCTCCCCCACCCCACCCCATTCAGGGGGGAGGCCTGTCCCTGTTTCAGGGAGGAGAGGGGGCCTAGCAGTCTGGGCCATGCTACCTGGACACTTAGCCTTACCATGGGCCTAATCCTCATAGACCAGCAAAAAAGAATGAGTTAATGTAGAAAGGAAGAAGGAAAGCATTATAAAAAATAGGACAAGATCAGCTGTGCAATAAATAAATCCATTAGCACATAGACCTGTGAGTATATATGTGTTTCTATATGTGTGATTCTGCTTCTCTTTGATACTTCAAAAGAACTGTGATTTTATTGCTGCCAGTGTTCCTGCTGCTGGTGCAGATCACAACCTGTCCACATCTCTCCAGACAGTTACATTGAATTGTCATAGCCCCTTCCAAAATTTAAAAAAAAAAATTGCTTGGTTGCAAACCTTCTGGTGATGCATGCGTCTCTGTGCTTAGCTAGGCTGACTGGTCCTCAGATAGCAGACACATAATTCTTTGCCAGGGCCACACTCAAAGCCTTTCTAGTTTGGCAAGACCTCTCAGAGCTTACATTACACTGGCATCCACCATCTCCATTCAGTTTATATGACAGGTATGTGTGAATATGCATATGTAGATATAGATATATCTATGTATGTAAAATATTTATCTCCCCTCCCAGGAATTACACGTTACAGGGGACATGGAATCCAGAACTCAGCTCCTAGAACAAATAGCTTTAGCCCAACTGTATTTTTTTCTGGAAACAGTGGTCTAGCTTCTTTCCAGCCTGGGATGCTGTTGGTGGCTTATGGCTGGGGATTTCTAGAGGGGAGAGGTATTGGGAAGCTGGGTAAAGCGAAAAGGGAAATAGTAAGAGATCAGCTTGCGGATGGAATAGAGAGACAATGGACGGTGGATAGCTCAGCCTCACTGGATGACAGCCCCGCCACCCACAGTGTTAATGGGAACAGGTTTTGAGACTGAGCCCAAGCTCAGTCGCAGACAGCTGCCATCTCCTGATCAGAAAGAGGTTGTGGCAGGGGTGGGGGTGGTATAGGTAAAATAACGAGGTGAAAGAGGATAAACTTTTGCCTCTGGGGAATCAGGCTAAGATTTTCTGGGTTGGAAACTGATCCAAAGTATAAGAAGCTTGCTTGTTCTACACTCCCACTGCCTCAGTAACCTCTCCCAAAGGCCAAATCTCTTAAACTTTCTCCCCAACAAGGTAATTTTTCATCAGACAGGAATATAGAAATACAAGTGAGACATATCCTTATGGCCCTCTTGGGAGAATGTAAAGAATATTGAATTGGGGTCAGAGCACCTGGGTTGAAATACCCTATGAATGAAAAACATTTTGCAAATCTCAGCTGGCTTTGTGAATATCAGCTATCATCCTCAACTTTACTTGCTGAATTGATGCCACCAGTAACACTGACGAGGAAAGGATCAGGACTGGAACCTGACCTAGTTAGGTCCTGCTTCTTTCATGTATCCGTCTTTCTTGGCTTCTCTGGCTTTGCTCTCTTCATCTCTGTATTCTGCTTACCAACCCCTACTGTTTCTATTCAGTTTTCCCCGGTGCTCACTTCTAACTCTCCTGGTCTTTCCTTCTCAGTTCCCCTTCCATCTCCTGCTCTAGACCTTTCTCTCGGTCTTTCAAGCCCGAGACTGGAGAGGGGGAGGGGAAGACCGGTCCAAGAGAGCAGGTGAAGGACAAATGCTTCGATCCTATGAGACAAGACAGCAGGCTGGCAGAGAGAATTAAAAGGGTTTCCTCTGCAGGGATATTCCATGGATGTACCAGGGAAAATCCAGATAAATAGGGCTTGCTATCCTCTGGATCTCTGCTCTTTCTGGTCCAATGCCCAGAGATCTAGGAGCAGAGGGGAAGGAGGTAGGTTTGATCAACCATCAGCCTGCGTGGTGAAGGGGGACCCAAAACACATCTTTGTAGAAGAGGGGGATTTCTTTTTTTTAGCAAGAGGTTCGGCCCCCCCGCGGCCCCCTCACCCCCAGCCCCATTCCAGCCACACCTCCCAAATGCAAACACCTGTTCTCTGGGACAACCCCGCAATCCCATGGCCAGGCTCTGTCAGTGTTCGTTCACCCAGCTCCCTAATTCAGTCTTCGGCCCTTAGAAAAGAACCCACCTGTGCCTGCCAACACAGACCGTCTTCTCCGGGGCATCTGAGCCACCCGTGGGCTGGCTGGCTGGGCCGGTGGCCTGCAGAGCCCCTGAGGCGCAAGGAACATCAGTCCTTCGCCGGGGCGCCCCTCCCTCTATCCCCCCGGGTGCCCAGGCACACGATCCTCAAGCGCTCCCAGCCCCGCCGCGTCACGCTGCCTCTTACCTCGCCCGGGTGGGATGCCTGGCGCCGCTTCATCCTGCAGGGCCCCGCACCGGCCAGATGCTCCCTCGCACGCCTCCGTTCCCGCCCCCTCTCGGATTCCCCCCGCGCTGGAGGCGCGGCGTGCGGAGAGCGCCTGGCTCGCGGCTGATCCGGCTCGCCCGCCTGCCTCTGCCCGCAGCGCCCGCGCCCGCTTGCTGCCTGCCTCTCTCTCCGCGGCGCACGCGCTGCCGCCCGTCTGCGGGGAGTTACCGGCCTGGACCAGGCGAGGGAAGCTCTGGAAGGGAGCATGGGCTAAGGGCGGCGTGAGGCTGAGGGGCTCGGGCCGAGGGCAACTGAGGAAGCCAAGGAGAGCTGCATGCTCACTCCCCATCCCTCCCCTGCCCCGGCCCACCTAGAGCTTTTCCCCTGCTTTGGCCTGGAAGGAAATGGATGCCCTAAGCCCACCTAACCAAGGGTTGGAAATCAAGAGATCCGAATTTGAGGCTTACCTCTGCCACTGAGTCACTGTGTGACCTTAGGCAAGTCACTTCAATCCTTCTCGGTCTCCACTTCCTCCTAGATGAGGAGCACCATGAGTTCCAAGATGCTTTCCAGTTCTAAAAAGTCCAGGAAAATATTGGCACAGTGAAGATGTAAGAAATGGCAAGCTGCCAACTGTCTGACCCACAGCCAGAGAAAGGAAAGGAGGAGTTGAGATGTGTCTGGAAGTTACATCTTGCAGCTACTTTCTATAATTGGCCAATGAGGTAGGCTCTGCCACACTGGGCAGAAAAGCCTGCCTCAACTCTGACACCTACTAGCTGTAAGGGCAAATTATTTAACCTCCATGAGACTCAGTTTCCTTATCTAGGAACAATCCTACTCCTACTACTTACCTCATAGGTCGACTACCTTCCAATCCCAGCCCTACTTCACAACACAGACAAGGGCGGGGGCAGAGTTTTCCCCATAGTTACTACTTGTTGCTACTTTTCTTGCACCTTCCTTTCTGGGGATGGGGAAGCTGTGACCTCGAGGCCACATTGTACTGGAGGTCACAGGTTCCCCACCCCTGATTTAGTCCACCTTCTTCCCTTTACAGATAAGGAGACTGAGGGCCAGGGAGGCTAAATGAGGGTTTGAACAGAATATGTTGGGATTGGAGAAATGAGCAGGAGGACCTGAGTCTCATTCATTTCAGGATTCACCAAAGGATAGTAATAATTTTTTCTCATATTTACAGTTTTCAAAGTACTTTTATAGCCATCATATGCCATATCTACCTTGTGGGATTGGTAGGGCAGAGATTGCTATACCTATTTTACTGGTAAAAAAATTGAGGCTGAAAAGTGAAATGTCTTCCTATGGTCATACAGCTAGGGGGTAGATAAAGGCAAAACTTGAACTCAGATCTTCTGACTACCAACTCAATATCCTGCCCAATTCAGTTCACCTAGCACTGTGCTAGACACACAGTGATGTTACTGTTCAGTAGTGTCTGACTCTTCTGTGACCCCATTTGGGATTTTCTTGGCAAAGATATTGGAGTGGTTTGCCATTTCCTTCTCCAGCTCATTTTACAGATGAGGAAACTGAGGCAAAACAGAGTTAAGTGACTTGCCCAGGGTCACACAGCCATCAAGTGTCTGAGGCCTGATTTAAACTCACAAAGATGAGAATTCCTGACTCTAGGAGCAACACTCTATCCACTGTACCACCTAGCTGTCTAGACACACTATAGCTTCTGTAAATGTTTGTTAAATTAAATTCTACTAACTTTTGGACTGTTTTGCTCTGTGTACATTCACCTTTCAACATTCAGGAGTTTTCCTGATCCCCTTTTACTCACAATTACCACTCTAGACACAAATATCTCTTCTCCAATGTTTCCTCTATTTCTTCCTCTCCCTGCTACTGCCCCCTGTGTGGGCATCTCAGTCTCTGGAACTCTTTTCTTTCTACGCTCTACCCCAGTGGTGATCTTATCTAATCCCTCGGCAATTGCAGATGATCCCCAAATCTACATGTGTAGCCCTGACCACTTCGTTGAGCGCTAGGCCTGCATTTCCAAATGCACATGGGACATCTCTACTTGGACACACATACCACTCCCTCCTGCCCTTGGTACCTCAAACTCAGCATGTCCAAAACAACTCATTCTTCCTTCCAAAAACCTGCCCCTTCTCCAAACTTCCATATTTCTATTTATGGCATCATCATCTTCGCACGCAGGTAACTCGGAGTTGTCTTTGACTCTTCCCTCTCCCTCACCTTACAGATCCACGAAGTGTCATTTCTACATTTACAGTATCTCTCATACTTGTGTCTTGCTTTCTGCTCTTACTGCAGCTGTCCTCATCTTCCTTACCTAAACTATTCTAATAGTAGCCTAACAGGACTTCCTGCCTCCAGGCTATCCCCTCTCCAAGCCATCCTTTACATCTTAGCCCCGGGGCCGTCTCCAGTTGTCCTGATCCATATCTTGCCACTGGACCCAGATGGCTCTGGAGGAGAAAGCAAGGCTGAGAACTTTGCACAGCCCTCCCTCACTTAAATCCAATGCACTTGCAAGTTATGGCATTACCTTCCTGAGGTCGTGATCCTGTTCTAGTACGAAGGATAAATGACAACAACAACAACATCTTACCCCAGGTGATTTTCTTGTCCTAGAGAAGAGGCAATGAACCACACATGCATCTTCTCTCATGGAAGAGAGGTAGAGGACTAGTAGGAAAGGTTATTGTATATATCATCAGACAAGGTTTCTATATTGGATGTTTTTGTTCATTTTTCTTTTGTCACAGGGATGATTCAGTCTAGAGTGGGGTGGATGGGAAATGATGATGCAAATACATAAAGCAACAATAAAGTATATTTAAAAGCACAAAGTACTATATTTAATGTACCACTTTGATCATTTCACTCCTTTACTTTAAAAAAAATCTATATTTCCTTCTTACTTACCAGATAAAGAAAACAAGGGTTTTTTTTTTGTCTTTTTAGCATATAAGGCTCAGTAAATCAGCAGTGAAGACAAAAGATACAGAGTCAATGCTGGAGAGGCTGTGGAAAGACTGACATATTCATACACTATTGGTGGAGTTGTAAATTGACCTAATAGTTCCAGTAAGCAATTGGGATTTTGTTTAGAAAGGGACTAAAATGTCATCAAGACTCCTCCTTAGTGCCCAGAAAACTCCTTCATCCTGGAAGATCACTCCAGCCCTGGAATTCATACCTCAGAAGTACCTTTGACCCTTGTGGTCCCTCCCTCTGATTGGATGCTCTCAGAACTCCATTTAAGGGGTGAGGGACTGGACCAGGCCACCACCTCTTTATTTCTCACCAGGCTCCAATCCAGACTCTTTCTTTCTATTTGGATTCCCAGAGTTCAGTATAATGCAGAGCACATAGTAAACACTTAATAAATGCTTGTTGATGATCCAACCATTCTGGAGAGCAACTTGGAACCATGCCCAAAGGGCAACCAAACCATTTGATCCAGCAATGCCACTACTAGGGCTGTATCCCAAAGAGATCATACAAATGGGAAAAGGACCCACATGTACAAAAATATTCATAGCAGCTCTTTTGGTGGTGGCAAAGAATCGGAAATTGAGGGGATGCCCACCAGTTGGGGAATGGCTGAGCAAGTTGTGGTATATGAATGTAAGGGAATATTATTGTGCTATAAGAAATGATGAACAGGCTGACTTCAGAAAAACCTGGAAAGACTTGTGTGGTCTGATGCTGAGTGAAGTGAGCAGAACCAGGAGAACATTGTACACGGTAACAGCTAGACTTAGCTCTTCTCAGCATTACAGTGATCCAAGACAATTCCAAAAGACTCATGACGGAAAATGCTATTCACATCCAGAGAAAGAACTATGGAGTCTAAATGCAGACGAAAACATATTATTTGCACTATTTTTTTCTTCCTTTTTTTTCCCTTTTGTTCTGTTTTTTTTCTTTCACAACATGAATAATGTGGAAATATATTTAATGTGATTGCACATGTATAACCTATATCAAATTGCTTGCTGTCTTGGGGCCAGGGGAGGAAAGGAGAACTCAAAATCTTATAAAAACTAAATGTTGAATACTATCTTTACATGTAATTGGAAAAAATAAAATTCTATTAAAAATGCTTGTTGACTAACTGACTCCAGAGATCTCAGACCCAGAGATCTCACTGTTAGGCATATACCTTAAGAAGATTAAAGATAGAAGGAAAGGTCCCATATATACCAAAATATTCATGGAAGAATTCTTTTATGGTAGCATGAACTGGAAACAGAGCAAATGCCCATTTATTGGGGAATGGCTAAATAAATTGTGGCACCTTAATATAATGGAATATTATTGTACTCTAAGAAATTGTGAATGTGAAGAATTCAGAAAAGCATGAGAAGATGTATATGAACTGATTCAGAATGAAGTAAATAGAACATGGAAAATAAATAACTACAACAATGTAAATGGAAAGAGCAAAAACCTCTAAATTGAACATTGTATAATTGTAATGCCTAACCTTGACCCCAGAAATGAGAAAATGTACCTCTCTCCCTTTGGTGCCAATGTAGGGGTCTATGGATCTGGAACACTGCTTACACTGTCATATTTAGTTGCTGTTTTGGTTAGTTTTGCTGGAATGCTTTTTTTCTCTTTTTTTTATTCTTTGTAATGAAGAATTGCTTGTTAGATGGGGGATAAGCAAAGATATATTTAGAAATGAAGATGGCATTAAAAAGAAAAGACATTAGTACATTTTTTTAAAAAATGTAAGCATTCAAGGTCCTCTATAATTTGGTTCCAACTTCCCCTTTCAGCCTTATCTCCTATTACCCCCTTCTGTATGGTCCTGACAAACTATACTGTTTACCACTGGCCATTTTCCTCCTAGCTACTCTAATCTCTATGCCTTCTGCCGATATCATCCCCATGCCTCTTCTTCCCTAAATTGAAGTTCTTCCTTTCTTTAAGACCCAGCTCAACTGACCATCTCTAGGAAGCTTTCCAACAAGTCAAGAAGCATTTGTTAAGCACTTCCTATATGCCAGGCACTGCCCTAAGCCCTGGAGATAAAGAGAGACACAGAGAGAGAGAGAGAGAGAGAGAGAGAGAGAGAGAGAGAGAGAGAGAGACAGAGACAGAGACAGAGACAGAGAGACAGAGAGAGAGACAGAGAGAGAGAGAGAGAGAGAGAGAGAGAGAGAGAGAGAGAGAGAGAGAGAGAGAGAGAGAGAGAGAGAGAGAGAAAGTCCTTGTCTTCAGGGAGCTCACATTCTGAGTGAAGTAACATGTAAACAATTACATAAATACAAGTCACATACGTAACAAATTGGAGGTAATCTCAGAGAGAATTTGTTAGCAGTGGGGGTGGAGAGTGGAAACAGGCCTC